TATTCATTACTTACTCCGCGAATACCTATTACTATCCATCTAGAAAATGCCACTTTTGTCGGTGTCTTATAGGGAAATAAATATGTAAGTATCAATCAGTTGTAAGACGTCAGCAAAATAAAGAATAGTGCATACACCGAATCGAAATATGGCGACCAATTTGAATAAATACTAAAAAAATCGAATTTTCCAAAAAAAATCTTAACATACATTTACTGTATATATACTGGCACGAAAACCAAGCTTGGGCTACCTGTGATAGGCGCACGTGGAAACATAGCTATCAGGTAATTTTTTAATCAAAGTTTGTTTGCAAGACATTCATCAAGGTTTCAAGGTTTCAAGGTTTTTTATTTCCCAGAATGAAAATTTTATACTTTACATCACTATTTTTAAAAAAATTAACTGGGAGGAGCAGAAGAAAACAACCCAAAAGGGTTAAGAGAATATTTCTGCACCTTGAAACTATATAATACTTTCAAATAAGAAGTTACAAGGGGGAAAGTAGCAAACTAAAATAGATTCAATACACATAAAAAGGTGTAATAAAGTGAAGTTTGAACTAAATTAAAGTAGGAAATAAAGTTACATTAAAGCAAGACCTAAATAGAATCAATTCTCATAGATGACAACATAAGTGCAAAAATAACACTACAACAGATTATTGGTCATTTTGTTTACATCTATCACAAATATATAGGGGATATTTATAGAGTTATATGGGACTTATCTGTAAAATTTGAAAAAACTCTCTTCATTTTTTCCATTCATTTCCGTCGTCATTTCAATATGTTGACTGAATGCGTCTAATTTCCTGTAATATTAGACAAAAGATATGTGTGTCTGACATATATTCTTGGCACCCAGTGCTGTCATTTCCTTCAATAGATATGAAATAGGCTATTTTGTTCACGTAATTGAGATTTTATCCCGAATAAAAATTTTTTCAATATCCTGACCGCAGACTCTACTCTTCCTTCGCGTTGGACAAGAAAGAAGACAAGGAAGAGAGCTCTCGTTTGTACGAACCAATATGGCGGCGATGACGTCACTACATAAACGTGTCTGATTGTCAGGATGGATCAATGGTCCGAACAACAAATATTAGACAAATAATTTGAATAAAGAATAGCATGGGGTACAGAGGTTATTTATTCTCGCTCTGGCGTTTGCTGTTTTGAAGGGAAATCGCGAGGAAAAATGAAATAACCTTCGCCTTTGGCGCTCGCCCGTACAACCATAGGAAGCGAGATAGCCCTGCGGTCGCCACAGGTGAATTGAGTTTGCTTGATGTGTTGTTCTCTCCTATGCTACGAGGGCTTTCTCCGGGTTCTCCGGTTTCTTCCCTCCCTAAAAATCAACATGTGAGTTGAGCGTTGTGTGCATAGAATATCAAATGCAGTGGTAGTGCGTGTGAGTGAAAAGTGTCCCCAATTAGTGCGAAAGCGCTAGAACGAGTAGACACTTAAATAAAAGTGATTTATTTATCTATAGAACCCCTGGAGCACCAACTGGTCCTAACTGATTTTAAGCTTTTAAGTTATTTGTTACGGCCAGTACCTTTATTGTTTTAGATTATCAAATTTTGTAAATATTATTATGAGTAGTTGTCATTCTAGGTACAATAAATTATTGTTGTTGCTGTTGCTGCTTTTGTTGAGCCCAGGATAAATGAAGAGAGATTTTATTGGCGTTTGACATTTGTTTTTTTTAATAGTATTTTTTCTCTCGGTCATACGTAATCCATGCAAATACTCACTTAGATAAATCCTTTCCTTTGTCGCCTGTTTCAAAAGCGAATTAACGGCCTAGTGAAAGATTTTGAGTTAAAATCGTATTAAAAGATTATGGCAAAGTAAAGAAAAGTGCCTAGATCAAATGAAAATAAGAGATAAGATTTACTAGCTGTACTAATAATTGTTAGTGATAACAAAAGGACTTACCGAGGTTTGTAGGCGAGCCGTTATTTGTATTGGGGTCAGCCAATCAGAATTTGGGATACATTTTAGACACACATGCACGCATAATCATTTTGACTAATTTTTATATACAGTCAATGTCATTAACGTTGTCCACCGAAAAAAGACATTTACACATTAACGCATTTAGACTAAAAGATATATCACGTGTTTCATTATGTATTATTTGCCTCGTGTGCGTCAGCCTGAACTTTAAATGTAAAATTCAACTCGTGAATCGAAAATCCAGAATGCCCTGACCATTTAGTGAGGATTTAAGTTGGAGAATGGTATTTCAGCGTTTGTTTTATGCCAGAACCTTCGAGTAAACACATGATATTTCTTTTAGTCTAAATGCCTAAATGTGTAAATGTGTAAATGTGTAAATGTGTAAATGTCTTTTTTTGGTGGACAACGTTAATGACATTGACTGTATAATGTTTTGTCAAGATAAAAATGACTAAGGAAAGGAATCTCTGGTATTCATGCTTGTGATCATCATAGGCACTGATGCTATTTTTAGAATCACATTTGCCATAGTTTGTTTTTCTGCACGCATACTGCGCACGCTCTACGCTGTTTGCTCACGTTTTTCGAAAAACACAAGGAAGCATGAGCAAACAGCGTAGAGCGCGCACTATGCGCGTGCCGAAGACCAAACGTTCAAATKAATGATTCTAAAAATAGCATCAATTTTCCAAAAAAGCATCAAAGTATGCTTATGATGGGACGCGGGGATTCCTTCTCTTAGTTCATATTCTCTTGGTTTTGCTCATTACCATTCAAACTCTAGTTCCCACTTTGTGAATTTGCATGAATTCGCAATGGCCGCGTAACTTCAACAAGCGAGCTGATTCATTTCAGAGATTTGAAAAACATTTTTAGCAACAGAAAATTAGATTAAACAAAATTGTCACTCGTCAAACTTAGTTTCGTATTGTGGCGAAGAATCCCACAAGTTTTAAAAACGTAAAAAAATATTAATAGTTAGCTCATGTCTGGTACAGGATTGAAGTGTTTCCTAGTCAGAAATTTCCCAAAAAAATTAATCAATCGCCAAGATCTTATTGCTGGTCATGTGAATGATGTTCACATGTCAGTTCGTTTGCCGCCTCGAGCATTTCAAGATTTGACATTTCCGCCGCGCTGTATTTGAGCAGATTTTCGTCTAAAAAGACCCGCCGTGACACTAAAAAGGGTTTCGTATGTCAATTATTAGGTATCGTGCTATTTGATTGGCTGACACCAGAAAACCATTTGAGCTTTATTTATTTTCTGTTCATACTCTAGTACCTGAGAGGAAATCGTTCCGAGATGGGATCCAAGAAACGTGCCAAGATTTCTCAATTTACTCTGTTGCTTGCGAAATGAGTGAACGGAGACATCATAAACGAGTCGCTGTGTAAATAACTTATTAAGGCATTATATTTTCCCTTTGAGTATCACGTACGCAAGGCAGATCCTCTTTATGTCTTCCTGTTTGTACACCATTTATAGCTATTTACATATTATCTAGGCATTTTACTCACGTCGAACGAGTTTTTAATTCCTGTTCAATCACATCTCAGTCCTTATTGATACTATGACAATATGTGTCGATGTGATAAGAATCTAATTTTTCAGGGACCGGAAAAAGTAAAGCAGGATTGTTTCTCATTAATTATATACCAGATATTGATAGCCCTGATAAGGGACAGAGCTGTAACTCAAGTATAGGGGGCCCTTGGTTGTGCCGGAAAGAGAGCGAGAGGGGGAGGG